AAGTGATTCTTCCACCTCAGCTTCCCAAGTAGCTGGGAGTACAGGTGCATCCCACTATGACTAGCTGATTTTTGCATTTTTTGTAGAAACGGAGTCTCACTATGTTGCCCAGGCTAGTCTTTAACTCCTGAACTCAGACATTGGCCAGGCTGGTCTTGAACTCCTGAGCTCAGGTGATCCACCCACCTTGACCTCCCAAAGTACTGGGAATTACATGCATGAGCCACTGTGCCTGGCCCAAAGCAGTCTTAAAAAGGAACAACGAAGTTGGTAGTCAAACTTTCTGATTTCAAATTTTATTTCAAAGCTACAGTAATTAAAACAGTGGGGAACTGCATAAATACAGACCATATAGATCAATGGAACAGAATCCAGAATCCAGAAATAAACTCTCACATATATGGTCAAATGATTTTCAACAAATGTGCCAAGAACAAACAATGGAAAAAGGACGGTCTTTACAAGAAAAGGTGATGGGAAAACTGAATATCCATATGCAAATTAATGAAGTTGGACTCTTACCTCATACCATATACAAAAATTAACTCAAAATGGATTAAATACCTAAATTTAAGAGCTAAAACTATAAAACTTATAGGGGAAATGCTTCCTGACACTGGATTTAGCAATGCTTTCTTGGTTATAACACTAAAAGCAAAGGCAACAACAACATAATAGATAAAAAGAGCTACATGAAAATTAAAAACTTTTGTTCACCAGTGGACAGTATTAACAGAATGAAAAGGTAACCCATGGGATGGGAGAAAATATTTGCAAATCATTTATCTGATAAGGGGTTAATATCTAGGATATATAAAAAATTCAACAAAAAACAACCTGATTTAGAAATGGGCAGAGGACTTGAATAGATATTTCTCCACAGAAGACATACAAATAGCCAATAAGCATATTAAAAAATGCACAACAAACTAATCATTAGGGAAATACAAATCAAAGCAATAAATACCACTTCACACCCATTAGGATGCCTATTATAATAAAACAGAAAATAGTAAGGGTTGGCAAAGATGTGGAGACACTGGAACCACTGTGAACTGTTGGTTGGAGTATAAAATAGTATGGTTGTTGCGGAGAATAGTACGATCGTTTCTCAAAAAACTAAAAACAGCATTACCCTGTGATCCAGCAATTCTACTTTTAGAATTATACCCAAAAGAATTGAAAGCAGGGACTCAAACAGATATCTGTACCCACACATTCACAGCAACATTATGCACATAGACAAAATGTGGGCAACTAAGTGTCCATTAATGAATGAACAAATAAACAAAATGCAGTATATACATACAATAGACTATTATTAAGCCTAAAAAAGGTAAAAAATTCAGATACATTCTACTATGTGGATGAACCTTGAGAACACTAGGGTAAATGAAATAAGTCAATCATCAAAAGACAAATACTTTATGATTCCACTTATATAAGTATACAGAGTAGTAATGATGGTTGTTAGGGTTTGGTGAGAGGGAGAATAGGGAATTATCTAATGGATATAGAATTTCAGTTCTGGAATATGAAAAAAGTTTTTGAGATGGATGGTGGTGATGATTGCACAACAATGTGAATGTACTTAATGCCCTTGAACTGTACATTTAAAAAAGGTTAAAATGCCAAACTTTATGTTACGTATATTTTACCACAATTTAAAAAAACTACTTATCATAACAAAATAAATAATATCTACCCACTGGACTCCCATTACATGTTCTCTGAGAAGAGCAGCTGGCTCATTTGTTCATTCAATAATATACGCCCAGGCACATTTTCAGGTTCTTGGGTTATATCAGTGAAAACAAGGATCTCAATTCCTTCTGGAGCTTAATTTCTAATAGGATGAAAAGGAAACAGATAAGAGAAAAATGAAGTAATTTATATAATAAGATGGAAAGTAGTAAGTTATAATGAAAGAAGAAAAGTAGAGAATAGTAATGTGGGAGCACTGAGCTGAGTAGTGGTACTTGTAAATGTTAGATAGAGTGGCCAGAATAAGCTTCACTGAGAAGGTGACATCTGAATTAAGATTTGTCAGAGGTAACAGAGATTATCATATGAACATATGGAGAAGGATCATACCAGGAAGAGGGAACAGCTAGTGCAAAGGGCCAAAGAACATGGCTCTGTTGTTTGTGCAGCAGCAAGAAGACCAGTGTGGCTGGAGCAGAGTGAGTAATGGGAATAATGATGAGATATTGTTAGAAAAGTGCAGGCCACTGTAAGGCTTTTACTGGATATAATTTGAAGGTAGAGTCAATAAGATTTCTTGACAGATTAGAGATAGAGGAAGAGCAAAAGAAGAACGAAGGATGATTCTAAGATTTTAGAATCATCTTAGACTACATTAAAGACGAACCATGAATTAAGATGTGGAAGGTGCCAAGAAAAGCAGGTCTAGGAAGGAAAAATAGCTGCTTTGTGTTAGATTTATGCGTTAGATGTATCTATCAGACATTCACATGGAGATTCCAAATAAATTAGCTGGAAAAATGAGCCTGGAGTTCAGGAAAGAGATGTGACTAGAGATATAGATCAGTGTATCAATAGTATTTGAAGCCACAGATGATTTCCCCCAAGGGAATACAGATAAAAAAGAAAAGAGGTCCAAGGACTAAGACTTGGGACAACACAATATTAAGAGGTTGAGAAAAAGAGGAAATATCAACAAAGGAGATTAAGAAAGAATGACCAAAGAGGCAGGTGGAAAACCAGAGACCTCATTTGAATTGGGTACATCTAATACTACAACTTTAACCTTCTGAAAACTGTTTCGTCTCTCCACGCCTGGATTTTCCTTGTCTGTACAATAAACATAATACAAATTACCTAACGTAGCTGTTGTGAGAATTAAATGGGACCAAGAAGAGAAAAATGATTAGCATGTTGACTGTTGGAACTCAGCAAGTGTTCAATGAATAGTAGCCATTATTACTATAATTAATGATAAATCTTAGCCTCCTCCTAGACTATTATCGTCATTTATTCTACCACTTTACAGGAAATGAATTAGGAACTGGAATTTAAGCAGAAGATCAACAGAGGTATTAGAAACCTTTAATGTAACACTGTAACCTACCACTTCAGCCTTAACTTGACTATTCCTCTATCTTGCAAAAATAGAGAAATAGCTCTTGCAAAAATGTGTTAGTTTTTCCTTGAATATGCCCTATATGTTCTGCCTCCACTTCTTGTTCACATTGTTCTTTTTGCTCCACATAATCTCTTTCCATATTTACCTGCTAAAATACTAGCTCATGCTTTTAAGGCATACCACAAAAGCCACATTCCACTTTGATATCATTATTGATTTATCCTTAATGTGGTCTCCCCTTCCTTTAATCTTTGTTGGTTTAATTAACTCTATGGCACCTACCATTTCCTTAGGTTATCCTTTTTAATTCTATAATACCCCTAGCAATATAATCAGTTTAATAATGAGGGTATAAAAAGAGCACATGTACTTAAAAATATGTAATTTAACCACTGTTAATACAATAAACCTTTTAGAAGTCTCATTTGCTCTTATTCTAAGTTTCTGTTTAAATCAATATTCAGCCTACATTAAATCTTGTTTTCTACATACCTACTTTTTGTATTCCTCACTCTTGCTACTCATGTTGGGAGTTAATTTCCAACCTGAAAACAATGCACTCTGCTAAATCTCATCTTGTTACAATTTGTTCATTATAAGGAACCCAACCTGTTTTTTGGAGCCAGCCTTTTTTTTTTTGGAGACAGAGTCTCACTCTGTTGCCCAGGCTGGCGTGCAATGGCACAATCTCGGCTCACTGCAACCTCCACCTTCTGGGTTTAAGCAATTCTCTGCCTCTGCCTCCCAAGTAGCTGGAATTACAGGCACCCACCACCATGCCCGGCTAATTTTTGTATTTTTAGTGGAGACGGGTTTTCACCATGTTGGCCAGGCTGGTCTCGAACTCCTGACCTCAAGTGACGTACCTGCCTCGGCCTCCCAAAATGCTGGGATTACAGCCATGAGCCACTGCACCCAGACTTCTGTAAAGACATTTCTACTATTCTTTTTCTATGTTCATAATCCTTAATTAGTCACAATTAATACATTTGTATACTGAACAACTCACTCTATATTCACCTGGAAAAATAAAGTAATCTATTTTCAGCATATTAAGAGTATTTAGACATTTGACTTTACTTTCCTCAAATTTTCTGCTTTCCCAAATGATAGCTGGTCTGTTTTTGTTTTAAATGAACAGTGGAAAAGAAGCAGAGTTACTTTGTTGAAAAAGCTTTTTGATTTTGTCAGACCTAACGTTGAATCGTGGCTTTACCTGGTTCAAATCTATTAAACTGTACAATCTTGATGAACACTGCTTAATATTCTGGTCCTTAGTTTATGATTAAAATGAGATTACTATTTTAAAAGGTTATTAAAAGAATAAATAAAAAATTAGATACCATAAATGAAGTATGAAGACTGGATGCTAAAATAACACTTAGCTTTTCTCTGTATTGTTAACAGAACCCATTTGTATTTGTAAAGCAATTTTCATGTTCTATTGGAAGCCACTAATCTTTTAACTTAGACCAAGATCCATAACAGTCAATGCTGACTTTAAAGCTGCCAAGCAACACAGCATTTTATAAAGCAAAACATTTTTATTGGTTTACTGATACTGGGTAGAGTTCATATTCTAGTATAATATTCAACATGAACAATAAATGAAATAATGAAAGATAAGTAGAAAGTGACACACAAATGCTTGTTATTATTGGTAAATTACAATTGGATATAATTACGCAATAATTTTAAAGCTATAAATAACAGGACAAATATATTTAGAGGCAAAGAAAAAATCTAAAAAAAAAGTGTAATGTTTAACGTTCAATGAAGTTGATAAATTATTTATTTACCTGAATCGCTTGCTGCAACAACTGTTCCACCAGGAGCAAAAGGATCATTGTGCTTCAATGTTTCCACCTAAACAAAGCATATAAAACCATGAATGAGAGAGGCAACACCATAGCTGAAACCTCATCACCACTCCAAAGAATATACTATCTACAAATTCTTAATTAATTAAGGAATATAGACATTAGGAACAAATGTTTCCCCATAGTGATCTGCAATCTTACTAACTGGAAATAATACGTATTATTTTCTAATCTTAACTGTGAAATATAACATCCATTCAGAAAGTACATGAAACAGATCTATGGTTTAACAAGTATGTATCAAGTGAACACTTGTGTAGTTATCTCCCAGGAAACTGACTATACCTCGGAAGTCTTCATGTGCCCCTCTATAATCACAATCCTGATTTTGGTGATACTCGTTTATTTTTTTCTTCATAATCTTGCTAGTTGTATAGATGTACATTGTTTTAACTTTTTACTTATTTCATTTTTTAGAGACAAGGTCTCGCTCTGTCACCCCAGCTGGAATACAGTGGTGTGATCACAGCTCACTGTAACCTCAAACTCCTGGGCTCAAGTGATCCTCCTGCCTCTCCCCTGCCTTAGCCTCCCGAATAGCTGGGACTACAGGTATATGCCACCACACCTGGGTAATTTTTGTTATTATTTGTAGAGACAGGGTCTTGCTATGTTTCTCTCAAACTCCTGGCCTCAATAAATCCTCCCACCTTGGCCTCCGAAAGCACTGGGATTTCAGGTGAGAGCCACCACTAACCTTTTATCTTGGAATAATTTAGATTTACGTAAGAGCTGTAAAGATAGTACAGAGTTCCCATACACTCTTCACCCAGTTTCCCCTAATGTTAATATCTCACATAATTATAGTACATCTATTAAAACGAAGAACACTGGTACAAAACTATAAACCATAGATTTTATTAGATTTCACCAGATTCCAGAATATCATTTTATATTTAGAATGCACACACTATTTTAATTCTCACATATCCTAGTACTTAATATCATAAAATGTTAATTTCTATTTTCTAATTGTTATCTAAAAATAATTCTGCATTCTGACCCTCAGAGAGAAAACACATGTACACACATACACACACACACATATGCACACATACACAAAGATAGCTTTTTGCTAAAAAGATCCTGCTGCTTTCAATAATAAGCTATGTAAAAGTCTGGGATCAAGAGCAACTGATCTTGCTAAAGGTGAGAATGTTACCAGATGCCAGAGATTCTGGCTTTTAACTGTCTTCCTACTTTATACTTTAGTTTTTAATCATAGTCAAACAAATTGTATATTTAGGAAGATAACTGAATTTCCTCTTTCTGGCACCAGGCTCTTTTTAAGCGGCTAGCTGAAAGACTTGGCAAACAGGTGAAAAGAGTGTGAAAAGAGTTTCTGAACATTTATATGCAACTCTGATGCATGATTATCAATGTCATTTGTATTACAGACTCTATTTCCAATTATCAAGAAGTTGGATATTACAAATAAATGTCAAATAATACTGCCAGAGCTTAATGTATAAATTTCCAAGTTAAAAAAAAATGTAGGCCGGGCACAGTGGCTCAAGCCTGTAATCCCAGCACTTTGGGAGGCCGAGACGGGTGGATCACAAGGTCAGGAGATCAAGACCATCCTGGCTAACATGGTGAAACCCTGTCTCTACTAAAGAATACAAAAAACTAGCCGGGCGAGGTGGCGGGCGCCTGTAGTCCCACCTAATGTAGTCCCAGCTACTCGGGAGGCTGAGGCAGGAGAATGGCGTAAACACGGCAGGCAGAGCTTGCAGTGAGCTGAGATCCAGCCACTGCACTCCAGCCTGGGCGACAGAGCGAGACTCCGTCTCAAAAATAAATAAATAAATAAAATAAATAAAAAAATTTAATTGTAGAGAAAGGTAATGTTAACTGGGACTAACCTTCTCTCTTTATAAAAGAATCCATTAAAACTACTAGCAGAAAGAATACTAATGAAGTTTTTAGAAATGAAAACTATGAATGATAAAAAGTAATGACAGTATTAACTGATGCCAATTATATTATACAACTAGCACACTAACTTAGATATCTGCGGAATAAACAGCAATTAAAGAAAAACTTATACTGGTCTATATAGCGAGATAACTTTCCATGTTTCCTAATATGATAGTCATAACACCAGTGTAAGAGAAGGTCACTGACATAACAAGTCACCAAGGACAGGCTGAGCATCCCTTATCAGAAATGCTTGGGACAAAAAGTATTTTGGATGTTGGGTTTTTTCAGATTTTGGAATATTTGTGTTCTATTTACCAAGTCAACATCCATAATTTGAAAATGTGAAAGGCTCCAAAGTCTGAAACCTTTTGAGTGCTGACATGATACTCAGGAAATGTTTACTGGCGCATTTTGGATTTGGGGTGCTCAACCTGTATTATTACTTCCTCTCTTTGAGAGAAAGAAAAACTAACAGGCTGTGTTTTAAACAACAGCTTACAGATTTGATTTGCCATCACAAGGAGAAAGGGAAAGGGCATGTCTACATGTGTGTCAGATTTAGTTTCTAGTCCTTCATCATATACTGTGCAACCACCCTAAAAGGCCGTCAGGATAGCAAGGGGAACAGGACAGATTGTGCAGCCCATGAAGGAACAAGGGGCCACAAAACTCTATGTCAGTTTGATAACTGGGGAGTTTAGCAGGGCCAATTTTTAAAAAATTTCTAGATTGTATTGGTGAAAATCTTAGATTTTGGTTACACAGAACAGAGTTTGAGTCTAGTTCTACCACTAATTAACTTACTACCAACTTAATCTTTTTTTTTTTTTTTTTTAAATTGAGACAAGATCTCACTCTGTCACCCAAGCTGGAGTGCTGTAGTGCAATCATGGCTCACTGTTGCCTTGACTTCCTTCGCTCACACAATCCTCCCACCTCAGTCTCTCAAGTAGCTGGGATTATAGGTGCATGCTATCACACCTGACTAATATTTTAATTTTTTTGTAGAGACAGTGTCTCGCTTTGTTGTCCAGGCTGATTGTGAACTACTTGCCTCAAGTGATCCTCCTGCCTTGGCCTCCTAAAGTGCTGGAATTAGAGGTGGGAGCCACCACACCTGGCCTCAACTTAACATATGTAAACCTCATACGATTACTGTGAAAATTAAACGAGACAATGCATATAAAGAGCTTGGCACCATCCCTGGCACATAGAGGAAATTAGATAAGCTGCAGCTATTATAATATTGCCAATTTGGTTTTCTGTTTTGTTTTGAATGGTGAAATTACAGGCTGTAAGCAAGGACAATATACCTGTAGAAAACTGGGAACAAAAAGTCAGTAAAACAAACGGTAGAAAAATCTCATGGGGGACAGGACAAGAGGAATGTATTCATTTTTAAATTCGAAGAGCTGATTTAGCTTTCTTGCTCTTTAGATCATAGGAGAATGAGAGGCTAGAATAAGAAGGTTAAGAAGAGAAGAATTCCGGTAGCAGCAACTTTAGAAGAATTTGGCAAATGGGTCCACACTGCAAACTAAGCGCTATAGGAAAACAGAGTATCCGGTAGCCCGGGGAAACCAAAAATATTCAGTTACGAAGGTATCTGTCCAGTTTTCATTCAATGGAAAATACCAGTTCTTAGCCAGGCAGCTCTTTACTGAATATAAAAAAGAAGCAACTTTCAATAATACAAAATCTATTATCTTTAAAATAATCAATTACATTTTAAAGGAAAAATTCTTAATCTAAGAGTACTAGAAGATAAAATTTTTGCTTCAAATGCCTCTCAATTAACTGGTCCTTTATAGGTTCAGTTTACCTACAGACGTGAAACCACCCGTCTCAAAAACGAAGTCTTAAAACACAAATTAAAAAGCAAAACCAAAAACCAGCAAAACCATTCCTAATTATTGACATTGGGTAATGGATGCATGAAAGCTTGTTAAAATATTTCATTACACTATTCTCGTTTAAGTATTCCTAAATATCCACAATATGAAGATTTTTTTAAAGCCTCCAGATAAAAGAGCAACTAGCTATAGGATCTTAAACATGTTAATTTTTCTAATCCCAGTGTCCTTATTTTTAAAATAGGGATATCAACACCTACTTTGCAAAATTGATGTAAATATTAGAAACAACGAATGTAAAGCACACACCAGTACCTGGATCAGGCATGCGGTTATTAAATAGTGATTGTGTAGGTATGTATGTTCTCAAGAGAGCTTGACATTTAATAAGAATTTGTACTTTGCAGAATTAACATTCCAGATGTGTCTATGTAATAACATAAATGATTTTATTTTTCTAAAGTTCTTTTAAAGTAATTTTCATTATTTCAATAATATACCAAACATTTCAGAAAAGTTTTATATAAGACTGGCTTATAAATTTCCAATCATTGTTAGTATCCTCAATAGGATAAGATTTAGTCTCTTGAAAGATGAACATCACTTTTGGACCCTGTTCAGTCATTCCAGTTAATTCCAGTGGGTAACCAAACTATGAAATACCAGTCTGAACCAAAAACTAACTGAATTGGGATGCGACTGAAATTCTTATATGGCCCATTAGAAGTAATCTAAATGAGGGTTCTTTCATCACTATGTATTTCAAGAAACTTGCTTAGGACACGTATCCATTTAACTTAACAGTCTTTAATTCTCCCACTTACCGATGTAATATTGCTATTGTTGGCTGCACTGAAAGGGTCAGTGCTTGAAGTGGCAAAAGGATCAGTAGATTGCCTGAAGAAACAGTCTGATGCAAATGGATCTGAACCTTTGAAAGGATCACCACCAAATGGATCTAAAAAAATAAGGCATGAATATAAGAGACAAAAAAAAATTATTGCACTAAATTTCCCATCACTTGAAGGTATGATCAGTGCCTTAATTAAAAGACAGTTTGGGGCCAGGTGCAGTGGCTCACACCTGTAATCCCACCACTTTGGGAGGCTGAGGCAGGCAGATCACTTGAGATCAGGAGTTCAAGACCAGCCTGGCCAACATGGCAAAACCTCCTCTCTACTAAAAAACACAAAAATTAGCCAGGAGTGGTGGTACGCACCTACAGTCCCAGCTACTCAGGAGGCTGAGGTGGGAGAATCACTTGAACATGGGAGGCAGAGGCTGCAGTGAGCAAAGACCTGCCACTCTACTCCAGCCTGGGTGACAGTGAGACCCTGTCTCAAAAACAAACCAACAAAAATCAACAAACAAAAAGACAGTTTGGGCTGGGTGCAGTGGCTTACACCTGTAATTCCAGCACTTTGGTAGGTTGAGGTGGACGGATCACTTGAGCTCAGGAGTTTAACACCAGCCTGGCTAACATGGTGAAACCCTGCCTCTACTAAAAACACAAAAATTAGCCAGGCGTGGTGGTGTGCGCCTGTAATCCCGGCTATTCAGGAGGCTGAGGCATGAGAATAATTACTTCAGCATGGGAGGTGGAGGTTGCAGTGAGTTAAGATCACACTACTTGTACTCTAGCCTGGGCAACAGAGCAAGATTGTCTCAAAAAAACCCCCAAAAAGACAGTTTGAAATGCTGTAGAATCTAAGCTGACTATTTTTTATTTCACAGACTCCTTTGCAATTTTGATAAAAGATATAGAACCTTTCACCTAATAAACTTATTTTTTTAAATTAACATATAATTTCAAGGGATCCAATTTTAAGTTTCCTTATTCTACGCTATCATAACTAAAGAAAACACAATAAAAACTTCTAAATGTATTTTTCTCTCTGAGCTCAAAGCTAACAGCCAATAGTTTAGAACAGGTTTGGGATGCAAAAACTAAACGGTAAACAAGATTTGCATTATTCTAATGAAAATTCCCAGAAAAAGAGTATCTTAAAAAGCCTGATGTTTTAGTAATTCTTCAAGATCCTCTTCCTCTAATCACAAGTGTGGGCTATAATCATAGGAAAACAAAATTACATTCTAAATCCCGAAGTAGTATAGATCATTATGTTCACCAAACCTTTAGTTAGTAAGGAGGAATCAGAATAAATATTAAAAGCACCAAAGTCTAAACACTAATGTCATTTTTAAAAAAGTAAAGCTACTGGGCATAGTGGCTCATGCCTGTCTGTAATCGCAGCACTTTGGGAGGCTGAGGTAGGAGGACTGCTTGAGCCCAGGAGTTTAAGATCAACCTGGGCAACACAGTGAGACCCTGTCTCCACAAAAAATTTTTTAAAAAATCAGTCAGGTGTGCTGGCATGAGCCTGTAGACCTAGGTACTCAGGAGGCTGAGGCAGGAGGACTAGTTGAGCCCAGGAAGTCAAGGCTGCAGTGAGCCATGATCACACCACTGCATTGCAGCCTGGGTGACAGAATAAGACCCTGTCTCAGAAACAAAAAACACCAGAAAAAAAAAAAGGAGAAGTAAAAGTAAAGCAACAATTTATTAAGCAAAATCTCAAGAATTTACTACTTTCTTTCTGAAAATGCCAGGCACATAGAGTATCTTACTGGGGCTTCAGTTTCAGACCCAAATAACATAAGTTTATTATTAAGCGGAAATGAATGAAAGCTAAGATGAAACTCAGTAAGATACTGACCGATTTTTCCAAAAGGATCATCCTTGAAAGGATCACCTGTGATAAAATAAACAGAAAGAAATCCAAATAACAGTATTTACTGTGATGACACCGTTACTTAAAGGGTAACTTTAAAACAAAAGCAAAGCAAAGTTTATTTCAATAACTTCACTTGAAAGTAGATAAAATAAGGAATGTCATTGACCTTATTAAATGTACAGCCAACTATACTTACCTTGATCACAAGTTGAGGTTACAGATGGAGGGGAAGACATTACAGCAAAAATTTTACTAACAAAACCTCTACTCTTCACAAGAGTACTGGGAGGGTGTTGTTATCACCAGTTCAGAAATAAAGATACTAAGCTTTACTGAAGCGGGGAAAAAAAAAAAAAAATTCTTACAGGACTGAAGAGTCCAGAAATAAATCCTTACATTTATGGTCATTTGATTTTTGAAAAGAGTATCAAGAACACAAAATGGACAAAGGACAGTCTTTTCAACAAATGGTGTTAGGACAACTGGATATCCACATGCAAAAGAATGAAGCTTGACCCCTATCTCACATCCCATACAAAAATAAACTCAAAATGGATCAAAGATCTAACTGTAGCAGCAAAACTATAAAACTCTTAGACAAAGAGAGCATTAAATCTTTGTGACTAAGGTAATAGTTTCGTAGATGACACCAAAAGCACAAGTGATAGAAGAAAAAATAGATAATTGGACTTCACCAAAATTGAATAAACACTTTTCCAAAGAAGACATACAAATGGCCAATAAGCATCTAGAAAGATGTTCAACATTAGTCAGCAGGAAAATACAAAGCAGGCCAGGCGCAGTGGCTCACGCCTGTAATCCCAGCACTTT